CAGCCGGCAGCTAAGCCCCACACAGCCTCTCGCTCGCTCCCCTCACAGTGGGATGGGGGAGAGAATTGGAAGAGTAAAAGTGAGAACTCCCAGCCAAAACCAGCACAAACCTGAAAATTTTGAAAAAAAAGAATTCATTTAAAAGTTGCAAGTAAAAAAGGAAAATATTTAGATTGTGGTAGTCTAGTTTTGTCATCTAGAATTCTCTTATTAAGATTTCAGTATGCTGTGTGAGCTGGTATCCAGTCACAGTCTCTGCTATCCTCAACTTGCTGTCTGCTCTCCCTAAAAAGCAGCAGCTGCTGATCTCTCTTCCCAGTCATGAAGTTCAGAGGAGCATACACCTACATGATCTCTTTCCACTAGCTGCCTGTCCTTTGAATGCCCCAGCCTTTATATCCCTTACGTAATGGTGACATCAGGCTGGCATCTGGTACTGGAAGAAACATGTAGCTCTGGATTACATAGGGTAGATGGAGCTCACTCTCAGATAAAATCTGGGATTTGGCTAGAGAACCAGACGATGAGCATATTAATAAGTACTGGTCCTTTGTTTAATAGGAGTTTGGGAACTTGAAAAGCCCATTCTCCTTAGAAAAGAAGATAGGACAATAGGACAGTTTTGGAAAGGGGATGTGCTCTTGTATGATACACAGCTGATAAGGAAAACTGGGCGTACAAAACAAGAGGGCTGAATTCAATGTAGCACAGCAGCAATAATTCCAGACTGAAATAGTTTGGAGCTTGGCCAAAATCAAAATTGCCTTTCGGTTCTTTAGTGCTTCAGAAAGTATAGTATATGATTTAATATGGAAATCAGATGCACTGTTTATTCATTTATTTAAATGTTCTCATGAAAACTTAGGTTCTAAATTAAAAGCCGTGTGGTCTTAAAACATTCATTGACACTTGTCATGTACTATTTAAGTGAAAGGCTAGTGTATGGATACCTTTTTTTCAGCATTATTTTATGCGTTTCTCATTTTTTATTGGAAAGGCCACGGCATCAAAATGAATATAATGTAAAACTTCTTAAATAAGATCCCTACATCCAAACCCAAAAAACCTGCTAAGCATTTTACTGCCACGGCAACTCTGATGTAACAGGTTCTAAATAGCACTCTCAGAAAGTGACATTCTTTGTCAAGGTATGAAATAATTTCATATTTTTTATAATACCGAAGAAATTATTCTCAGGTTCTTCCTTACAATTTATACATGCTGATTAGTGAAATAAATGACATAAACATCAATGAGGACTAACTTGTGCAAGATAATTTGATTCCATGTGAAATAATGATCATTACAGGTCTTGATTTAAAAAAAAAAATCAAATTCATTTGTATTGATAACATCATTATAAGGATATATATAGTAGAGTGTACTTCTATTAAATTCCATTTGGTAATAGTTTAATTTCATTAGAGCATTTTTGTTCCTATGATACACAATCTGTTAGACTCAGATACTCAGGTGCTTGCTTATCTACCTTTAAAAACAGATATGTTTTGTTTACATGACTCTACTGTGCTAATACTTTATTGCCATTTAATTCTAATCCTGTGTGCTGCCAAGGTTTAAAAGTGAAACAGCTCTACCGTGGAAATGCTATGACCCCACAGCAATGGTTATTGCGTGATCATTTTGAGCAAGTGGTAGGGGAACTGAGTGAGACATAGCTTTCTCCAAGTGGGTTCAAAGACTTTCATACTTTCTACTGTAAGTTACCTTTTCTAATTTAAAAGCAAAAATCCGCTACTCTACTTAATTGAAACATTACAATTCTTGCTGAAGGGAAAGGCTAAGTGAATGACCCATGCAGGAGAGGCATTAGTCACAGCCCAGCTGATCTTAAGAGACTTATGAGACAGTGAAGAGCAAATGTACAAAGCTTCTTAAGTATCCGAGTCAAAAGTTAGAGGTCCTGAAAACTCATAGGCCTCTGTCACATAACCCTGGACATGCTTAAATGCTGAGTACCCTTCTTCTCAAAATTAAGGTTTCTCAGCCCATGAGGACCTAAGCATTCCTGAAAGCACTTCACTAGAGCAGGACTGAGTAGTTAATTCCTATCTTGCACCTTAATTTCAGGAGAATTTAAAATTTATTTCATTTATCTTGAAAATTTTAACCAGTAGATTACATACATCTTTCATATCTGGTTCCCTAAAGTGCAGACATGAAGACCAGTTATATTTTAAAAGAAAGGCAGATATTCTTCCACAATAAGCATATAATAAATTATTTCTGTTATGATAAAACAGCAAGCTGTTGAAATATGCTTTGCTGCTCCAAATGAAATGAATCTCAAGGAATTAAAATGTGATCTAGGAAATTCTAAACATTCAGTAGTTAATTTAGGAAATGCTAAATACTTGAAAGAGAGACTTTTTAGCTCTGAAGATCAAGAGCCTGGATTTTATTGCTGGTTTATATATATAAAATATATATAAATATACCATATAAATGTGTATATATATATATATACACAGAAGGTACAGTTATATAAAGATTTTTTATTAAATATCATTTTCTACAATACTCAGCCATGAATAACATGAAACTAGTGTCAGTCCAGATGTTCAGAAGAACAGTTTTGAGCTTATATGTTTTATCTGAAAACTTTGTTAGGTTCTACTTTCAGTCAATGGTAAATCAGTACAGAGGCTGGAAAAAGTTCTCCTTAAGCATATATCCAAATGAAAAGACAATTAAAAATGATAAAACACTTAATCAAACCTAAAATTATTATTCTGAATTTAGAGGCTCTGCTTTGAGTGTTGTTCAAAATTAATTAAGTTCTGTGAGTTCATAAAATGTATTCCACCATCGCAATGCTTCTTAGTAATATTAGGTCTTTAGATTAATATGCTCTTGCAAAGCTTGATGGTGGTTCCTATTGAAAAGTAGGGTTATATTTTTTTTCATAATGGGATTTAATATCAGTTTAACCAGCCTTAATTAAACTTTGGCTTATAAATCATTTTCTTGAGAAGTGCAATGGAATTTTCTGAGGTTTATGGCTTTTTAATTAAAACTAATTAAGCCAACTTGTGGTTAAGTGCCTGCAAACTAGTTCCCTTACATTTCCAAGCTATTGTATGATGTTCTAGTCACAATTTAAACTTTATCGGGACTCAACAGATTAAAACGTTTGGCCATAAAAATCTAGTTTTTTAGGTACCTATTGACATTTAATCAAGCAATTTAAAAAAAGAACTGAGTCATGTTTTGATCTAATTATCAGTTATGTGATGATAACTTAACAGCACAGTTAATACAGACCATGACCATATATATACCTTTGCTTGTTTGTTGTGTCAGCATCCCATTTTGGGTATATACGTAGAAGTAAAACGTTACTTATTGAAAGTTAAGTTTTACATATAAAAGTATTCACATTCATAATACTAAGCATCACTTTCAGTTTTAGCCAATTTATTCTTTTTGCACATATGTATTCGATGTGTAATTGCATTACACATTTCAATGAACTTCTGTCTGTCATGATTTTGTCATGCCTACGTCTGTATTATTAATCTCTGCTACCTTATATAAAATAATATGCAGTTAATTTTTAATGGATTCTTTTAAGCAGTAACTTTCAAATAATATGATGTTGGAGAATTAACATAATAATTTCCTTATATTGCATGGGGCAGGGGGAGGACAACATGTGACTTACTAGGGTCAGAGTATAATTCTGATGTTTTAAGTCTTGGCACCATTTTTTTTCTGTATTAGTTATATTGTCTCAGTAATACTGTGTTACTTCTATTTCAGTTCCTGATGACCAGTCAGTCTTTCCCCTGGCCCAGACCCAAACAAGCAATTATAGACAGTATTAATTTGAATTTTGATACACTAAGAACTGAACTGAGTGGGTGTAGCAGTGGAATTATACACTTCCCTCAGTTTTGATGTTCTTACACTTAAGTCCTTGACTGATGTTTTGTCATTCCTTCTGTGCTTCTCATCTTACTCTCACGGTCTTTCAAAAATATGATTATGAAATTCATTATTATCTTTTATCTACCAGATATTGTAACTTCTCTCTCCAACACTTTTTACATTTTTGTTCTATGTCAAAAATTAGATTTTTTTCCAGGAGGAGGGTCTTGTGCCTCCAGTCTATACGCGCTTCACTTTCTTCTTACAATTGTCTATGAATCAAGAATATGAGAACACATTTGCAATTTATTCACAGAGTTCAAGCACCCTAAAAGAAAGATTTGGAGAAAGATACCCTGCAGAACTGTGTTTCTGTTGTGTCCTGTTAATGTAGGGTAGGTAGTTCAGGGAGTGCTTAATTCAGTCCTTAGAATTCAGTCAATGAAACAGTTTTGTTTAGTTTATATAGTTTATATCTATGTTTTTATATAGTTTATATAGTTTTTGTTTAGTTTTTTATAGCTATTACTACGTGTGTTATAAATTTCAATACTGTGAGATTTTAATTGCTGTATATATTTTGCACGTTAGCTGGATGTTAACAATCTGTTCTAAACAAGTTCAAGAAATAATGCTAAGTTAATGATGTGGATCTTCTTCTCAGCCTTGTCATATGTATAGACAGCCATCATCTGGATATTGATAATAGAACTGTATATGACCGATACATTATTTAAGAAATAGATCAGATAGTGAAAAAATACAGGAAAGTGTAGTATGTGCATGTAAAGATTTACAATTTATTGAATGTGCTCAGTTACATCTGAGTTTATAAAAACTTCAAACAATATGCAGATCTGCCCTAGCCTTTACTAATTCTGACAATTTTAAATTGCAATATTATCATATAATCTTCATTTTGCTTTCTGACTATATTCACATATGAATTACAACTATAGCTGTTTAATTCTAATAATCTTTGATTTGTTTTTCTGATGAGCTGTAAGAGGGCTGGGCATGGCAGATATTGACTATGGGTTTATTAGCTTTAACAGCTGCTTGTATTTTCTTCCAGTATTACTGAATCCGAAATGCTTTCTTTTTCTCAGGAGAATATAATGGAAGTTATAAGAAATCAAGAATTTCTACTTCTACCGGCTGAAGAGCTCCATAAACTTCTTGCTAGTGATGATGTGAATGTTCCTGATGAAGAGACCATTTTCCATGCCTTAATGATGTGGGTGAAGTATGATATGCAGACGCGATGCAATGACCTAAGTATGCTACTTGCTTATATCAGATTACCACTGCTTCCACCTCAGGTATTTTTTTAATTTAATAATAATAATAATAATAATAATGTAATAATATCACTGTTACAGTGATTATAATCTGCAACTACTGAATGCTCTGGGTGTTTAAAAGCAAAACTGTTAAGAATTAGAAAAAATGAATGGCAGCCCTTCATCCAGAGTGACCTCAATAAACTTGAGGATTGGGCCAACAGATACCCAAGAAGTGCAGAGTTGTAAAACTGAAGAGGAGTAACCGCAGATATCATAACATGCTAAGAAGGACAGGCAGAATAGTAAATACTCTCAGGAAAAAAAACCCTGGGGATTATGACAAATACTGGGCTGAGTATGAGCCAACAGCATGAACGAGGAAAACTGCATATTGGTCTACATCAGGAAAAATTCTGTCAGCAGGCCGTGTAAAGTTATTATTCCCATAATAGCTGGTGCTGCTAAGGGTACACCGGGAATATTGTTTCCAATTTTGCCCTCCGCAATTTGAAAGGCATAGGAAGAAACTGGAGAAGGTCCGGTGATTGGCTACAAAGGTGGTATTTCAGCTAGTAGAGGAGAGGCTGAGGAAGTGGGCTTGTTTATTCTTGGTCACCCTTACAGCTCAGTTGTTAACTCAATCCCTGGCTCTGGTTTGAACCACTCCAGTTAGCTCTCTTCCAGACAGCTATTCTGTAGGGGATTGTAGCCCTAACCCAATTGGTGCTACTCAGTCATTTCTTGCCGTATTTCCTTTACCAGTATAAGCGTAGCATATGATTCTCTGACATGTTTAAGTAGTTATTCTGTTTCAGCTAATATTTTGAAGAATATGGGAAGAAAGATGAAGGTAGGCTAAGGGTGGCAGCTCACTACATGGCCAGATACTGGTATTATTATGTCTAGATGTACAAAAAATATACCCATTCTGAAAGGAATTGAGAAAAGAATGCTAGGAAGGAGATGATTAAAACAAGAACTATCATAAATCATGATGCTAAGATTTACAGTCCCTTTGTGTCATACTGAGACCTCAGAGGACTGGGTGGGGTTTTTTGTTTTACTTTCCAATATAAAATATGCTACAAAGGAAACAGTCAAATACGACAAAGTTAAAGGTTTCTTTTGCAGAAATGTGAGCTGTTTGTTTTTCAACATCTATGCCTGTTGAGAAGCTAGCACACAATACTGTGCATTACTGCAGTCTTTAAAGTGTTTTTTTTTTAAATCTGCCAAGCACTTACAAAAAGTAACTTAAACTGTTCACACACCAACCTCACCTCTAGCTCTTATTGTGTAGAAAGAGATCATGCAGGCTTTGTTGGTTACTGGTCCCTGCCCTAGTTCTTAGTAATAATTTTCTTTAAAATGAATATCTGCAAGATCTACCACTATGGAGTTAAATGAGGCTATTGACATGTCAGATGAAAGGAATACAACTATTTTGTTTGTTCTGTGAATTGCTGAAAATGGTGAAAAATAGAACCAAGATTAAAAAGTTTACTTTCCTTTTCAGTAGCCTTATGTAAAACACCAGGTTATATATGTATGTGTATAAGGTTTGTAATAGTCTCATTCTTGTCTAGACACCCTTTCCCATGAAAGTTCAGACCAGAAGATCTTTCAAAGTCACTTCCAACCGGGGCTGTTCTATGATTCTATGATTCTGTGGTATATAAAGTATCAACTCAAATAATCTAGAGGCAAGATTTCAAACTACTTTTATGTTCGGAAGCTTCTAATCCCACTACAAATTCTAAATGTATGGCTCATAAATTTAGCTGCATTCCTCCAGTCAGTAGGGATTTTACTTCATCTACATATCACATACTTTGCTTACCTCTGCACTGCTGATTGCATGTAAACCTGTGATCCCCACATTACCAAGCTGAGTGTTGTAGCTGTTTATCCACAGTGTTAAAGGCAATTCCCTGTATAGTTGAGTAGCTATGTCCACACTACCTGCTTCTGGGTTTCCTCTGGTGTCTCTATGGCTCTAACACATACGGATATCCTGAGACACTGCCATCAGCACTAATGTCCCTCATTTATGGAACTGAATTGTGTCCACTTTGTTATACATTGTCCTCATGAGAATATCCTGGATACCTTAAGTTATCTGAAGTATCACTATATCCCGTGTTTAGCAACTGAATTAAATCCTAGATTTCCACTGCCTAGCCTAGATAAGCATCACAAATGTAAACGTATCATTGGTACCTTGCATCATTGACACCTACCCATAAATTCCTAAAACAGTTGTGTTAACCTCAAACTTAATTTCATTGTGTATCTTTTAGAAAATTTCTCATAAAACTTATTCTTCAGATTCAAGTCCAACTTTCATAGGGAACACATTTCTTTCTGAACAGCCAGGAGGCAGGTGACCAGTGAGTAGGGTATATGAAAAAAAATAACAGTTTCAAAACTGTTTGTGAGGAGTTTCAAAAAGACCTATTTTCAAGTGATATATTTCTGGCAATTCTCTATATTTTTTGTTCAATTTAATCTGAAAATTAACCCTTATGCACTGGTGCTTGTCTATAATTGAGTACTGCATCATATAAATGTTTGCTGTAATGCTAAAAAACTATTTAAAAATTGTTTCCAAATTGAAATTAAGATATAACAAAATTATTGAGAGCTGGAGGTGAAAACTTACTTTTTATTACCAAAAGATGAATTTTTTCCTACTATGGTTTATATTTAAGTGTAAATCAAATAAAACATTCTATCATTTTCATTGCACTGAAAATTAACTGAAGAGCTCTCTGGAGAGAAGCCAGGTCAAAATTAAAAGCTAATAATTGGACCTTTGTGAAAAAAAAAAAAAAAAAAAAAAAAAGATTTGGGTTCCTTACTTTTAAATTCACTAAAAAAGATGAAGTCATGGACTGCGAAGATTATTAACAGATTGGAAAGATTGTACTGAGATCCTCTTAAAATGAAGGCTTAGATTTATAGCCTGAGTTTTTATGATACCTCATTTCACTTTCAAGGTGCAGTAATTATATTGGCAATGTAGTCAGACTTGAGTAATAGGATATCAAACAGTGTAATTCAAAATTCAATAGCAGAATTTAGGAGAAGACAATCAGTATTAACATATTAAAAGGAAAGCATCATGAAGCTGAAAATGAAATAATAGAACCTGCAATGCTGCCACAGAACTTCAGTTTAATTTTGCTCTTTTGTTTTGCCTGAAACCATTTGCTAAATTAAACCACTTCATATTTCTTCAAATCAAACCAGAAAGATTAGTGGCTTGACCAGTATAAGAAATTATTTCACGTTATAATAGCTAAGATTTAGTTACTTCCTTTCAAAAGGTGTTCCAAATATTTTGTGTTGATCTGTACAGAAAATGTATCTTAGTATATGTTCATTTTCACTCTTAAAGGATTCAGGGAGTAAATATTTGGTGAGAGCCTTAAACCTTGTTAATGCTGAAGTATTTTAGATTATTTACTTGAATTGTTCATTAACAAACATATCATAAATATTTTTCCTGTGATTTTTAATAGCATTCTTCACTGAGGGTAGGTTAATAAACAAGTTAAGAAACAAATAAAAACTATCATTAAGCTGACATTTTGTCAATTGTTCAAAAACTCTAAGAAGCTATTTTTCGTAGCTAAAAGGTACCACAGTTGCCCTCAATTGCAGCACTATTTTTAAATGAAATTTAAATAAAACCGTTTTTAAAAATCTAACAAAATTAGGACATGTAAACCAAAGCAAAAACACTAAAGAAAATTTGTGGATATGTCTTTTTTGACATGATATGATAAACATATACATAATCACAGAACGACAGAATGGTTGAGGTTGGAAGGAACCTCTGGAGGTCATCTGGTCCAACCACCCTGCTCAAGCAGGGAGACCTAGAGCCAGTTGCCCAGGACCATGTCCAGATGGCTTGTGAATACCTCCAAGGACTGTGCCAGGGCTCAGTCACCCTCACTGTATAAAAGTCTTTCCTGATGTTCAGACTGAAGCTCTTGTGTTTCAGTTTGTGCCCATTGCCTCTGGTCCTCTGAGAGGGCACCGCTGGAAAGAGCCTGGCTCCATCCTCTATGCACCCTCCCTTATGCACATTAGTAAGATCCGCCCTCCGTGCCTTCTCTTCTCCAGGCTGAACTGTCCCAGCTTTCTCAGCCTTTCCCCATAGGAGATGCTCCAGTCCCTTCATCAGCTTTGTGGCCCTTTGCTGGACTCTCTCCAGAATGTCCATGTCTCTCTTGTACTGAGGAAGCTAGAACTGGACACAGCACTCCAGATTTGGCCTCATCAGTGCTGAGCAGAGGGGAAGGATCACCTCCCTTGACCCACTGACAATACCGTGTCTAATGCAGCCCAGAACACTATTAGCCGCCTTTGCAGCAAGGGCACATTGCTGGCTCCTGTTCTGCCACACTGCTTTCCAGCTGGATGGCCCTCAGCATATATTGGAGCACGGATATACATACACATGCATATGCACATACACACATACATATACATTTATTTCATTCCTTTATAGTAGAATGTTCTTGTGAACCTATTTTAGTTAGAAGTGAAAATCTATCGTTGTGGAAAGATATACCCATTAAGGTCTGGCTAGAACAGCTAAAAGTGTTCTCACCTAGTTCCCTGACCCATCATCTAATGAATACCTTCCCCATGATGCGTGAGGTAGTCGTTACCATCCCCACAGCTCTGGGAGCAAAACAGCTCATCTGAATCCTCGCTAATTCTATACAGGCAAAAGTCTAACCTTGTCTGCAGTTGAAGCTAAAACATTAACATCTGGCCTTGAAAGCAAACAGTATAGAAGAGTTTCTGTCACTGAATTCTCCTTGCATTTCTTTCCTCCTTTCCCAAAACAGAGTGGTTTCTTCTCTGCTTGTATCTTCTATTCCCTGACTCAAGCTGTACCTGGAAAATGTTCAATGCAATTCATCAGATGTTTGAGCCTCTGCCTAGCCCTGTTTTGTTGACTAGTGATGTAGTTGCATTTACTAAGACGAAAAGCTTTTTTTTGCTGATTGTCTGTA